CTTTGTTAAATGCGAAAATAATTGAAGCCCAGCCCCCATCCGACTGACTCCTGCCGGATGCCGACATCCAGAGGATACAGGTTGATCAGTACCGGCATAGCCTTTGGAAGCCGTACCACCGTCTTTGAGGGGCTGGATACGGAGATAAAATTCCAATATATCGAGACCGACACGAGGATCCTTAGAACCGCCTCTTTGAACCATATTCATGATCAAGCTCCGTGCCCGGGAGCGATTCAAATCAAATCCCAAACTACCCCCTTACAAGAGGCCGACAAGGTCATCGTAAAGTTAGAGCGGTCGAAACAAAGATCAGCGACAGAGACAAGGCAAAGGACTTGCCCAGTGATGATCGACAGAGGGATGTCTTTGATGACAGTAGAGACGCCACAAGCCGCATTGATTGCGATATACGATTTACTGGAGGGTAAGACGTCATATCCTCAGGCATTTACCGTACTAAGGGCATCTAGTGGGCCGTTTTTTATACAGAGACCGGTCGACTTTCCATCGTGATATTAGCGAAGGGAATGCCCTCAGGTCTGAGCTATCAACTTGCACAGAGCTAATGAAGACAAAAATAAAGGGGTTGCATTTCGCAACATCTCTAATAGGAGAGAACGGACCAGATCCAAAGTTCGTATTCCTTTCACTGCTCATTGTGGATTTCATTTAACTTGCATTAGAGCTGAAAGACTACAAACACCGCTAATCCTTATCGATTTTGATATGGGAGAGGTTCTCAATGACGAGACCAAAGGGGGCCCAAAACCTCGGACGGTAAGGACGACCATGGCTTACTTCGGAATATGCTGACTGATTAGCTAGGGCACGCCTATATTCATGGCCGGTGTTGTACGCTCAGGTAAAATAAATGAAGGTCCTCACTACTTCCCTCCCATGCCTCAACTGCAAGCAGGGCTAGAGAATTATCTCAAGCATCTTCCTAGCCGCCTCGAGGCATTTCCACCGAATCAAGAAGCAGATAAACGTCTCCACGATGACATGATTTTGGAAAAATTTCAGCATGAACTACGCTACGATGCCGAGTCTGTATTTTGGTTATTGTTGTGGTGGGCCATACAAGCAAAACCAGAGGCTTCTGACAGCGACGAAGATTTCATTCCCAAAGCCATCTGGGAGAGTTTAACATGGGGAGGTGAAAAGCAGGACGGAAGGCGCTACTTTATTGACCCATTTCCTAAGAAGATCTTGCATCCTTCCTATCGACCTCTGGAAACGCTTCTCAGAGCAATGTCTTTACAATTAGCCGGGGATCTTGGGCTTATGGAAAGTCGGAGTGATCCTGAATACCTCCACGAAGCATTTCAACGACTCATCTTTGAGTTTCTTTCGGAACATAGCAGCAAGAATAGTGACTTCCTTATTCTTACAAAAAGTCGGCGTCTACGTGAAGTGCAAAAGGCCGAAACGATGAACCAACTTA